CAGTGGCAAAACAAATATATATTGCTCAAATTTTTAATTTGAAAATTTTGTTTAGGAAAGCAGTTTTACTAACAATTCAAGCAACTTTAAATATTGTGGGTATGCAGGGGTAGCATTAACACCTGGTCTTATTTTATTAACCAGTGTAATCATGAAATACAGGAGTTTTGAGTACGTACGCCTATCAAATGTGGTATACTAAGAATATGAAATTAAAATATCTTTACCTGTGAGCAAGTTACAAGTGTATGTACTTTCGTTTTTGTTCGACAACGATTGTACATAGAGCTCTTAACATATAAGTTCTGAAAATATGAATTATCATACTTACCATTAAAAATCAAACAATCATTCTTTGACGTAACTTACCTCAGACTTATTAAAAAAAATCACAACCAAAATTATCACTTCACTGTTTCTACGTGATATTTGTAAAAATAGTCTAACGCTTTTGAAATTTAAATAATAATTAAATTTTGTTATTCATGTTTGTATTTTATTATACAAAATTCGCTTGAAATTAGGTCAGAGTAGATTCTGTATGCAAATCACGCTTGGATAGCCGCAGGCGCAAGTGGTACGCGCGTTCGTCTCCCGTGCAGCCGATTTGTGATTGTGGTTAGTTTGCACCAGCTCTCGGTCTATAACCATTGAGTTGACCATTGACAACAAGTCTCTTTCAGCCGGATGTCTGCCGACGGATATTGCTGACTGGTATTATATTGACACGTAGTACTCTAGTACGCTGTGGAATATCTAATTATGGATAAACAGAATAACACATATCCCAGGAGAGTTACAATTGTTAACGTTATCTAGTGAATGCGACGATCAATGACGTGGAAATATTCATCGTATACATTCATAACACTATGTAATATGGTTTTTGTTTCTGGTTGGTTAGAACCAATTAGAAAATGAAAACCAGAAACAAAAATCATAAAAACATGAAACCATGGAAACATGAAAAATCTTTATTTCGCTGTAAAAAATTTTGCTTTTGCGATCAGGATAACAAAAAGTCGCAATTAGCAAGGTAACGTAGAAATTTTCGGTTTTCTCTTCATTTAAAAACAAAAAGGGAACACTATATTTCAAATCAATGGTATATTTTATTATAGATCATACAGCAGGCAATAGGTCTATACAGAATCTTTTCAAATAGCCCAAAATATCGTTTCGCATTCCTATTATTGAACACAACAACTTCTTATTGTTCAACGATTTTGGATATTCACACTTAATTCATTTGAATACCAATGTAAATCGATGAAACAGCTGATGCACGTTTATATGGGCGCTTGTTACTATTACTGTGAACATTTTCCATTAGTGTGGTGTTGTTATTGATTCAAAGACCAAAAACTCCTTCGATCCGGCCGAATTCGAACCAGCACCTGTTTTCCAGACCGGGGCTAAACGCTCTCCCAATTGGGCTACGGAACGGTACAGCAGATCTCACGAATTTCTCTATGTGCTTATTGGTGATATATAAGAATAGGAATATTCCCAAGAAAAATACGTCAGGCGCGTTCCAATTATGTTGTAACGTTTTATTTATCGTTACACGACTGTCGCGACTAGCCTGTTCCCATATCACGACTATCTGTCATAACTGTGTCGCGGACGTTTATTTTATCGTTGAACGACTGTCGTATCTAGCTGTTCCCACTAGATCGTGACGACATTTTATCGGTTCACGGCAGCCGCCTTGTCGTTTGCACGAAAGAATCGTTTGAAGCTGCGATTGTCGGTCGTCAAATTTTTATCGTGACGTTTTATTTATCGTCTGACGACTGTCGTTCTAGCTCTTCCCATTGTCACGACAGTCTATCATCGTAACGTTAAAAAAGTCGCGAACGACAGTTAGTCGTGTTGTTCTATGTGTGAACAACTTCACTTAAATATTCAAACCACGACACTTTAAAGTGCACGACCATCTGTCGTCACGACATAAAAGGAACATGCGCATTTCCTTGTTGAACAGATAAAGTCAGGTAAGCTAGACCAGCAACGAATTCAAATACCGTAATATGAGTACCTACTTCCTACTACTATAAATAATTTTAACTGCCTCTGTGGCAGTTAAAATTATTTGTTGTGGGTGTCCAAGTGTATGTACCTGGCACCCGCCATACATGGTTTCCCTAGTGCGGGCCACATGTAAATAATCATTGTAAAACACAATTCGTTTTAAAAAAATATTTATGTATTTGTGCCATAAATAGATAAATACCTCGACTATAGCTTAATGAGGTGGAAATAGAAAATGCAAAATATAATTATTAATAAATTCTTTATTTCTTTCGTGTTGCATAAAAACGTTCATTATTAAACTAAACCATACTTAACTTAGGCAAGAATATCTATCTATACATATTAACGTATTACACATTGAAACATTTCAAAACTAACGTCGATACGACTCTTGCTATACTGCCTTAGGCTTCGACAAACTCTAATTACAAATATGTTGTAATTGGAAAGCTTTACTTGAATAAAATGGTACCCAATATTTAAACTTTAATTACAAATATATTGTAATTGGAAAGCTTTACATAAATAAAATAGTACTCAATATACAAACTCTAATTACAAATATGTTGTAATTGGAAAGCTATACTTGAATAAAATAGTACTCAATATACAAACTTTAATTACAAATACATTGTAATTGGAAAGCTTTACTTGAATAACTTAGTACTCAATATACAAAATCTAATTACAATTATGTTGTAATTGAAAAGCTTTACTTGAATAAAATGGTAACAATAAATTACGGTATCAGAGTAATTCAAAATTAGCATAATTGGATCAGAGTTACCTAACAATCTTACAATAAGGCCTATATTTGAATAATAAAGGAAAATTTAATTTATAAAACAGACACGGAGAAAGGTTCGCAACGTAAAAATTTGTTATTCTTACAATTCTCATCTCATTTTCCTTATTATTAACTATTACAGCTATTAATTACCGAGTATAAATTTTGTTATTTAAGAGGTAGTGTTGAATAAATTTTGATCTTATAAAATTTTAAAACACTTTTTGTACTATACCAATATACAAAATTAAATAAAAGTCAAGGAACACACGTAGCATATTGTTCTTCATTGAATTCAAATATTTTTTCATTCAAAATATAGTACTTTATACTTTGTCTAAGTCCTTTACTTGGATACATTGATGAGTCCAAGAAAATAAGAAATTCCATATGAGTACCCTATGCAAAACGGTTGAACCGGTCACTTGGATCCATCTGAGGTAATGTTTTTAATTTTTTATATTTATGTAATCAAATGACAAGTCGTGCACTTGGCGGTAAGGAGCACGCCTACTCATAATAATTGCAGTGCCACTCAGAGCTTTAAATCGGAAAGAACTATGGGGCACTGCTATCGTGTCAAACCACAACTCAGTCTGTTAGTAGCAGTAGAGCTTCTTGTGAAGGAGTTCGTCTGGACGAACTCTACTTTACTTTACTTCTCTGGAGAAGTACTGTCACCTTATTCACTTAGTATCATATAAAAGTCACACTGCTCATAGCTGCTGCAAAACTCAGTTCAGTGTTTTGTAATTTAATTGCAAGGTTCTTGCCGCTGTTATCAACCCAGGGCAAATTATTTAGAAAAATAAAATATAATGGTTGGATAGAATTCTTTAATATATCTAATGTACAGCGTAAGTTAAATGCGTCTATGTATTTTATTAGTTATTAACCTCAAAAATTACAAAAAACCGAAAAATCCGTTTTGCCGCTTTTTATCCCAATGCTGTTTTTGATATTACATTTATTTCGGGTGGTACTGTGTTACCATGCACCCTTACCTTTTAAACTGTAACGCAGTAATGCCAATAATAGTCGCAGTACTGCCCTGGATGAAGAACTGTTAGACGTAAGCACCGCTACTTCGGTTTACTTGGGCTACTTTGGCAGTTTAATGACATACGGCATTTTGCTTTGGGGTTATGCCGCCGACATTAATAGAATCCTTGTCCTGCAAAAACGTGCGGTTAGGGCAATTCATAATCTGGGCCCCAGAGAGTCTTGGAGAGAAAAGTTTTAAAAAATTAACATTTTTACACTACGCTCACAGTATATTTATGAAAATGCAATTTATGTTAAGATGAATAGCAATTTATTAATGAAAGAAGTGATAAACGTATTATTAACACGAAGAATAAACTGGCTGTTCTTAACAGTGGTCTTCACAGGATCACAAATTCATTAAAGGGGCAATGTATACATTTCTATAATAAGATGCCGTTGGTTGATATACAAAATTTGCCATTTACGAGGTTCGAACAATAGTGAAGCAATAACTTTATATACACTAAAAGTGACTATGCGACTTCTGCGTACATGGATGACACAAAATCATAGTATTGACCCGTTTAGCCCTTGCAAGTTGTCTGAATCTATAATATATATTTGAAATAAATTTTGTAAATATTAAATATATACAAATGTTTATTTACAAAAAGCAACCTTTAGAGTTTCTTACACATTCCTCTCATGGGAATCTGCCTTATAAATGAGTAATAGAGTCTAATCAATGGCATGATTTCAAGTGTAATTTCGTCGCCTTACATTCTCAAACCCCTATCTTAAAGCACAGTTACGGAAATGCAAAAAAAATGGATTGTATATACAAATTTTGCAGGCTCATTTCACATCAAATTTCCTTCACATTCACACACTAACTTTAACCTATTCTTAAAGTAATGCATCCAAATTAATCCCCTTGATAAGGAATTTAAAATAAATAGAAAGTCTTGCCGTCTCCTGAATAATCACTCTTTTTAAGTTTGTGAAAGTAAGGCATCGATTTGCTAACCAATGAAATAAAGATATATTATATTTGATATGAAATGAAATGAAACTATTTTTATCGGAGCTAAATTGCGTATATTTCTTTTTTCAAACAAACTAACGCTTCGAGCCCTTTACAAGTCCTATAGTTACAGAGTCAGCAGCGATTTAGATCCGAAAAAATAGTTTATTTACTATATGTGACAATCGCAAAAACCTAACAACTCGATATATTTGAATGTGAACTCTTTCACAAGGAGCTCTACAGCTACTTATTCTTATTATGTTATATGTTAGTATGGATTCTTTGATGACTCAATGTAAATGGACATATCTCTTGGATTCATCAATAAATGGCTATTACTAGCATAAAGTATTAATTATATTTTACACCTTATCTTCGCAGATACCATCGATTTCATTAGCCTTTCCTTGAGGTACCTCATTCGTGACTATGTCCAACGATCCATTCTTACTTATGCCACACATAGAAAACATTTTACCGCCAATATCGTGTTTCTTCACGCAATATAGGATTATTATTAATATCGTTAATAAAACAACCACGGAGCCAACTATGATCGGAGCACTTTGGTCCATATCTTCGACTTCTGCAGCCAATTTAGCATTTTCTTCTTTTAGAAAATCACTGAGTGTTGCAAAGTATTCTAGTAATCCTTTTGTAGACAGTCGTGTTTCGCCTGTTATTGCCTTAAGAACTGTTGCCCAATCTTCACTTGCGCCTAGAGACATGCCGTCACTGAAAATAGATTAATTCATCATTGAAATATTTTTTTATGCAGGCTGCTGAGTAGTTGACTAAATATACTCATACATTCTAATAAAAATTTCTTAATATTGTGTATTCCGTCGCGGAAAAACTGGGATGTTCATTTTACGTCATCACTGCGAAGAAAATGTGTAGGTGGGAATAGACATATTAGGGTTAAACCCCATTGACAGCACGATGAATACAAAACATGTATGCACAGAGACATAATATAGAAAGATACACATTATGTCACTTGAGATTAGTTACATATTAAATAAATTCCAAAATCTTATTTTTTTATTTGCTTATTACTACGTTGTAAAAGCACTAAAAAACAAAAACAACAATATAACATGAATTTAACAAAATTTTTCGTGTATCGCTCATTTGTCATTCAAATCTATGCGTGTAGTGTGTGCGTTCGCTGCTCTTCAGTATCAAACCATTACACTGTAATATAAACAGCATTTTGAGAAATGGCTGCACCAACAGTTTTTTTTTTGTTTTTTTGAAATTTTTCAGTAAATAACATGATTTAATTTATTTGTACATTACATATTAAAGAATTTTGTTTAGTCATTATAATTATACTTTGCAAATTAAGCAGCTATTTCTATCGAAAAACGAAAAAGATTCCTTGACTTTGACAAGAGCTGGCAGATTGTTGTTATAGGGAAATTACAAAACACTATGTATGGGACTTGCAGTGTTTTGCTTTGACACGGTAGTGCTGCGTGTTAACATTCCTGGTAGTGCGCGTGAGAGTCGTTAATAAAAGGTGTAAGAAGAATCAAGTAACTTCTTTTTTCTTAAAAAAAGAAAACATTTTAATGTTTTTTCACAACATCAATTTCATATTAAACGTGTTTTGTTTATTAATTATCTTCATGCTAGGACTTCAGCAACACGCATACTGATGATACCTCATATAACATACGCGCATACAGACAAGTGGGAGTCCAACCTTGAAAAGACATTTTCATTTAGGAAAAAGCGTACATAATGCGCCATGTATTTCCGTAGCCAAATTGAAGGTTGACGTGTTTATTATCGCATGTTGTGGAACAATAGGAAATGCCAACTGCGCGGTGCACACTGTTGGAGTGCTCAGGATGTTTAGGATGCTCACTATGTGGTGACCATCCATATCAAGGGTAAAGTTTTATGTATGCAATATTTAAAAATAGGAAGTGTGTAATATTTAAGCAAATATCGCAATTTATGCAGCAACATCTCTTGTCAGCTTCTGGCAGCTGTAAAGCTTTATCTGAAACCTATGTTATTTTCTTTCTTTCATTAGATTAATTTCATATGTATTTATTAATTAAGATCATATTATGTTTTACTGTTTTTTACCAATTCGTTTTGTATTGGTATCAATATTTTGTTTCGTAGTGATGATCTGCATTGTTCAATGTTTCCTAAACTATGTGATCGGGTAGGTGTGTAGCCTCAGTGATATAACATATTATGTTAGCTTACAATTACAATAAGATCTTTTTGTACTGCTTTACGTAAGTTTATTTTCAAATTAAGTTTTAATTTTAAAAAATCACTTACAGAGTTTATATCTTAATTGTCACTAACAAAATGGATCGAATAGATGATATGAATAAATTATTATTATTATTATTTTATAATACCAAGTGACCGGACGAACAAGTCGTGCACCTGGTGGTAAGCGACATGGCTATCCATAACAGTTGCAGTGCCACCGAGAGCTTTAAATCGCAAAGATCTTAGGGGCACTGTCACTGCGTCCGTCACTCTGAGACATAAGTTGACAAGTCATTTGTGCTTGTAATTTCACGAGCACCCAGGCCCTTTGAAACCGGAACGTAGTAATGCTCATGTTACGGCTTGGCGGCAGAATTAAGTAAGGTGGCTGTACTTCCCTGGACGAACTCTTTCACAAGAAGCTCTACTGCTACTAAACCCTCGCCTGTGAGAAGACCTGTGGTTAGCAATGGGACATATAAATGAGTGAAAATGTATTTTATAAACCTGTTCTATACCAGTGCTGGGCAAGCCTACCCCATCTTTTCCTATTGTTCTCGGTCTTAAGCAACACCTGGCCAGTCTTTTAAGCAGGAGTCTTAAGTCATCACTAATCATCAGATTATTATTATTATATTTCTTCACTATTTTTATTATTATTATTTATTCCACTACTACTTCGGCCTTAACTGTTACGCATGAAGAGGCAATGTCATCGGTCATATTTTTTCCTGTTTCCTGAAGTTTGTCAGTCTTGTTAGACAGAATACTATCTATATTTAGTAACGTAGATATCATATCTGTGTTTTGCCATATTCAAGTATTATTGAAGAAATTTGTAAAATGTGCTATTCTTGAAACAATTTCATAATTGTTTTTCTGTAACGTTTGGTTATCATAACTAACATAATCGACATTTTTAGCGAAATTCAGTGATTAACCTCCTTTAATAGATTTGTTTTATATAGTTTCAGTTTCATTGTTAAGCAAAATCTGACCAAAATCGTAACTGTAATTTTTTTAAAGAAAATAAAATTACTATAGCACCAATTTTTGAGAATGAGCATTACTATAAAGTTACTGAAATGAAAATGCGTTAGTTATGACAAGGAAGGTAGACGAGACCAGAAAGAATATTTTTCTACAATTTTTTTTTTTAACTTATTTATCCTTCCAATGACATTTTTACAAATAAGATAAGGTTCTCCCAAACTTCTTAAATGTTTATCGGGAGAGTTTGGTTACTTCGCTTAATATTACAGTCACATAAACCTTACATTCAGTTGTTCAATATTTTCCGACATTGTATCTAAAAAATATTTTTTATTTAATTTTTAACATTACCTTTAAGGTTTTTAAGTGGAACGGAAGTCATTTAAACAATGTGGGAATTAAATAATCCTTAGTTCTTTTACCAGAACTAAATAATTCACTTCAAAATGTATTATTTAATTTCAAAACATGCTAAAGTTTACATTTTGAAATTTGGATGAGTCTTATAGCAAGTGGCATAAAGTTGAATTTGAATGATAGGTGAAAAACCTAGTGTACTTTAACTGTACTTATGTAATGCAACAAATATATAACGAGAGGATACAAAAAGTGAAAGCGACGTTACAAAATCCCTCTCACAAAATAACGTATGCTCATACGTTGTACTTAAACAAAATATAAATTCGTGTTATTTAAACGTCACAAAGTTTACCTAAGCGCGATATACAGGGTTGTTTGTAAAACACTAACAATCTCGGAGGACTGTATTACTAACATCATAAACAAGAACATTTTGTTCCATGACTTTAATAATTCACCACATTTTACTTTCATATAAAAATAAAAATATTGAAATAAATCGCTCTAATCTGTGATAACTCTGTGCAAAACACAGGAGCGCAGATGGGGAGAACGCTTGGACGTTTGAACTTACGACCTTACAACCGGGCAGTGTACTCTCGTCCTAAAAAATGTCAGATAGTAGAACAAAAACTTAAAATGTTGTTTTTGGAAAAAAATATTATGTTTTGTAAAAAGTCATGAAACAACAGTTGTTGTTTATGATGTTTGTAATATGGAAAAAAAAATCTTATTACACTGTAGACAACCGAATCTGTTACATAACCGAAGTTTAAGTTCTGAAACATCATGGAAGGGAAGATCTAAGGAAAGAAGGGCAGAGGACGACCGAAACGATTTTATATAAATAAAATTAATATCGTGTCGTATAAGGAAATCAATGATAGGGTTCTGAACAGAGATAATTGATGATTACTCCACCGACAAGAGCCTAGCTTTTAAGAAGACGAAGAAGAAAAAACGCGATATTAACATAAATCTGTTAGTAAAAATACTTTGATGACAACCCTATAAGTAAATTAGTGGCGAAATCATTGACAGTGTAAAGTTCAAAGACGTGGCACTGACCTTGCTGCACTGCTACTTTAGAACCAGTTACCTACATTTTATTGCCGAGCGCTCATAGTGACATTTGTACTTAAAGGGAATGTCGCCTATCGTGCAAACATGTTTTATACATAAACAAAGTTTTATCCTATTTGAAACATAAACTTATCACATATAATAACATACAGTAGAAACCGTTTAGAAACTAATGTCAAGGGTCGTGGTCATGTCGTAGTTCGTTAGTTTCTCGTGACATTATTCAAAACTACACGGGTTTTAAAACTCCTAAGTAAATTTCTAAACAAAGTACGAAAGTAAGGAGACCTTTATACGTTTTTTTTTATATATGTACACACTTCACGGTCTTTCCCCATCTGGATAGCCAGAGACCGCCTTCTATTTGCGGCGATCCTGACACATATATTTAGCTTCATCAATGCTTTCATACACGCTTGTCGGTTAATGGTAATCAAGACCTGGTCTTTGTTTAAGACGTCTTCATTTTGGTCGTAGTAAGTTCGTCTTGGTTTGCCTCTACCAGTTTGCTAACTCCCCTTATTTGTACCGTCAAAGAGTCAACGTCTTGCAGCGGTGGCAACCGCTAGTTGTGCAGCGCACAACGGGAGATGAACTCTCACAAACAGCTCCGGTACCTATCAGGGTAATAGGAGGGTGCTGTACGCTCACCTGAGGGACGTTCTCCTAAGGCACTAGACTTTTAAGAACCGGATGAAATCTATGCCTACGAGCTGATCTGGGTTCAGGAGCGGACTGATGAGGTCCCTGCGTAGACTTGCTCCCACAGGTCATAGTGCCTTTCCCGTATTACTAAAGTTTAATAGGGTGGGGAACTATAAACAAAACTTAAGTAATAATATGTGGAACTGTCCTTTCAATCTTTTTCATTTTCATGATAATTATACAATATATAATTAAACAACTGCTAACACACTCATACCAAAAATACTTAATAAATTTGATCGTGTAACTTTAAATATTAAAATAAAATCATTTTATAAAAAGCAGCAGTCTAAACCTAAACCTGTTGTAAAGGATAGGTGAATGCGAATAGAATGCAGCAGATGAGCAGAACCAACCTTTTTGTTTACTCTTGCCCGTACCTACCATGGACCAATAACTCTAGAGGACTGCTAATGTCCATACTACAGAACGAAACTCTGAAAATGGTCAAAAACTCGCCATTTATATAGATGACGCTGATCAATATCCTGGAAGTAGTTTATATTATGTAAATGGTCGTGAATATCAATACATTTTTCTTTAAAATGAAATATACGTACAAAGTTTTTTCTTTGTAATATTATTCAAATGTTTACCATGAACTGAAACGATTGTCTGAACTTTGACAAATATGCGTGTCAACAAATGGCGTTGTGTGTTACAAACTAGTTTCTAAATTAACGCTTGCTAGTATGGGTAGATGGCGCTAATCTTAAACAATTTAAAAGAATAGCCGGCGGTATCAATAAAAATCTGTTTAATAAGCGCCATCTAGTTGATTTGTTCGTTATCACTAGAAATTAGAGTAACTTTGATAAATTGTAGTTCGTCAATGTAAAACTACTGGCTCATGTCACTCGACTACGCTGTCTTGTACCGTGATCAGCTCTGTATCTTGTATTATTGAGTATCTTGTATTATTGGTCCATGGTTCCTACTATAGCTTGTGCCAAATAGCAATGGCCTCTATACTTTTTTTTAAATGAAGCCAAAGTAATCAAAATATGTTTCCTTAATATCAAAGTATTTACATGTTTACAACCCGAGGTCATTTGTCAGTACATAATAGTGACCTCTACCACGATATGCTAATGATAATACTTTCGCATGATACTAGGAACATTGGAGAGTATCGTTTTCACAAATGACGTATACAGTGGTAGGAAGGGGTGAGATTGATCGCTATTATTGCCATGCTATTTGGCACAAACTATAATAAATCTACGCCCTGCTTTTAAACACAAATTTAGTCATATTAATTAATTTGTGCTTCAACTACCAGTCTCATACACATAATGTTAAGTTAATGTATATTGTACTTAGTGAAGACACTTCTACAACCCCGTGGCTCAACGGTTTGCATTGTGAGTGCTGGGTGAGGAGGTTCCGGGTTCAACTCTCCGTAGGACCAATTTGGAAATTGAACAATTTAGATTTTCTTTTTCTAGATTTTAGATTTTCTACTTAAACTAGTAAGTTTAAGCGTTCTCGGTCGTGGAGTGGATTCCGTTACCCTGATACTATAGTATAGGAAATTGCCTAGTTTAAGATCAGGTAGATGGTGTGGTTCTGCGGCACATTATGATTGGGTATTTTAGACTCTCGGCTCTCCAATGGCCTAAAAGATTTTTTGAAATTTAATATTATTATATTATTTTAAACAACTCAAGGGTCTCAGTGTATTACTGTGTATCCCTATTCGTTATAATGCATGAATATGAAATAAATAAAAATGTCTATACCGTCTAAGCATTCTTTTCTTTCTAATTTTTTAAAGTTAGAAGTTTTTAAAACTATGACATCAGAAAAATGAATAAATAACTTTTGTTATAAAGTTAGATCAGCACATCTCCCGCATCATTCTAATGAACATCAAAGTAAAAAATACACAGCTTAATTATACAGATTGTAACAAAAACGTGTGACCATATGACCATGTTTGTATATACAAAAAGTTGTTGCCCAAAAATTGTGCATCTTCATTTTTTTTATCTGAAATTTAAACTGTATTCTTACTAATGTGGTTTGTAATTATGAATACGACCACCAATTGTAAAATAGTCAGTTTTTTACTACATCCGGTATATGTATTTGCATAAACATACCTTAATAATTTTCCTGCTTCCTTGACTCCATATAGGGAACACTCGTGCAAAGGTCCCGTGTGGTTTGCCCTCTTGCATAGAGATAGTAGAATTTGAAATTCCAGTACGTGGGATATCAGATACCTGTAAAATGTATTGATTACATATTTAAATGTATATATAATTTCACCAACACCCTTATCCTTGAAAACCGGAACACAGAAATGCTCACATTAGTGCTGGGCGTCAGAAATAGGTAAGGTGGCAGTACTTCTCTGGACAAACTCTTTCATAAGGAGCTCTACTGCAGCTAGTATAGCGGTAAGTATAATATATTCCTACTTGTATAATTAATTAGTCAGATACTCGGTCAAACTTACGTAATATACTGAACGTGTGATACTACATGGTATTTGGCAGCTGGATCCAAGTCGCTCTCGTTGCGGGGTACTGGAGGTGACACACCTGTCTCCTTAGTCCTGATAAATATACAAATTTTCTTCGTAAAAATATTTTGGCCCAGGAAACTTAAGGTGAAACATGCATTTGGCTTTCTGCATATATACCGCTAATTCTGGCTACTTTAGAATGCAAAATGGATAGTGCGTCAAATAAGCCTCGATGTGACTTGTTGCGCTAAGATCGTGTAGTTATTGAATTTGGTCGAGCGATCTATACAGGTACGATTTCATTTCCAATGCAGCTAAAAACGGATTTACATTTGTCTGGCGTGTCATGTCGTGTCTCGTCAGATCGGTATCGGTTTCATCTACTTAATATGGTTAGATTTAAATTAGTGTGTCGGAATCTGCCGTGAAGGCTTGTGTTATGTATATGAACCCGACACCGTTCTGACGTGTCACGACACGACACGTCGGACAAATGTAAATCTGGCTTAATTCATCGTACAGGTGTTAATTTCGTGTATAAAAAATGATGTGTAATTATTATTCCTGTACCTAAATGCAAATTGATCCAAATATAAAATAATAATGTACTTTACACCATTTAAAATAATATTGTAGATAAAAAATTAATACGCCACTTTTGCATTGATAGCCTCAACTAATAGATCAGTAATTATCAACGACAAAGTTACCTCAAATCCCACCAATGTTCATTCCAATTCTCCAGACTGCTGTTGCCAAAAACGTCCCACCGCCATTTGTCCAACACGTAAGCATACGCCATCAAAGGAAACTTCTCTAGGGCAACCCAAAGCAGATGGTTGAGCATGAATTCAGGGCCTGTCTCCACGTTCACAAAGCTGAGAGTTTGAAGGTGATCCGGGGACGTGAGTTGTACTGCTACTATATCGGAGATAGCATCGTGGAAAGCTGTGAAGGATAAAATATGCCATTGACTATAAGTATGAATCATAAATAACAAAGAAAAGTGGAAAACTGTGAATGCAGGTATGCTAAACCTTTTTTAACGGAAAATGTAAAGAGGACATTCTCATTATGAATATCATAATTTAAATTAGTTATCACAAAATATTAATAATAAACAAAAACTTAAACAACAACACACAATAATTTAACTAACGCACTACGGTGACAAGGAAACATTCGAGTTTTTGAAACGAAGCACGAATGACGTTTATGACAATATGGCGGCAACAAAAATTTTTTGTATCAACATAAATTTTGGATAAAACAAAATTACGTAATACAACATTCGTAATATTAAACTATTATAAACTAGATAAATACATATTTAATAATATAATACCTATAAAATGAATGGAACGGTAGATAAATAATGACCCTTAACTCTCAATTTAAAAGTAGCTAACGGTGTACTTTCGTGAACAGAAATAGGAAGTGCGTTCCAAAGTCTGATCGCATGAACAGTGAAGGAGTGTGAATAAAAACCGAAATTGAAGGAAAGAAAAGATAACTGGGACCTAACTAGACAGCGTCAAGGTTTGTCTTGAGACCTGAGAAAGCTGAAACGCTCTTTCAGATACTCGGGAAACGAAGGGTTATAAAGAATATTGTAGAGAACAGAGACAATGTGCAAATTCCTGCGGAGACAAATGGGAAGCCACTTGAGTTGACTGCGATAGTGTGAGATTCGGTCAACGAAGGCCAAAGATAAACCTGATACATAAATTTTGTGAGTTCGGAGTCGCCTTCTATGAGTCGTGTAGTTTATGTTTGACTAAAATTCGGTTGAGGCGCCAGAGGAACGCATTTTATTCAATTGCTTTTTAGCGTTTGTACGGGGTATTTGTGTATTATAGTGTGATGGATTCATTAAAATTAAAAATAGTGTAAATTCATGAAGCATTAGATGGTGTTAGAAAAAGAAAAGAAGCTGGGCACATCCATTCAATATGGAAAGATTAAAATGTTGGCAGTTTCCTATAGTACTTATATGAAATTTTGCGTGAACATCCAGATTAATTTGTACAACACTACCACATGCCAATAAGTGTTTCCCTCACCACTCTCTCAAATATGTACAAATTTCGGATGGTTCTTACAACTCATGATCCATTTACTAGCTGCAATTCGTATCAGGGGGTCGATTCAGGACCTTACGATAACTCAGTTGTCGACCGATCGATTTGATATCGTACGATTTTTTTTCTTTTTTTTCAAAACACCCGAATCGAACGTCAAGCTGTCGTATTCGAAACCGTACCGAAATGACGTCACACCCGTACGATTACTCGAACTTCCCGACCGGCAAAGGCTACAAACGTTATTCGGAACGCAGTTATCGAATGAAGTTACCGAACATTCTATTGTTTACAAAGCAAGAATGTAATATGGAAATCTCTTATTATTTTAAATAAAGTATGGATTTTGCTCAACTTAATTAATTTAAAGCCTTTAAAGTCTTACAAATGTATATAAAGAGATTTTCATTTTTCTTATAATCTATTTCACCAACTCCGTAAACGCTGTTGGATAGCGTATCCAAATCGAACGTTTAATTCGAATGTTCTGAATAGCTCGGAAAGCGCCCTTCGATTCGAGAACGATATCCAACGAAGGATTCGGTTAAAATATCGAAGACTTCTGAATCGGGGTCCAGATTATTTGTTGATTATTGCATACTTATCGTATTTACAATCACTTTCAGCGAACTACCCTTTAATAGTAAACAAGGGCCAAGAGGAGTTAATGACACATCCAACCGCAATTACAGAGTCCAAGGTATTTATATTCACTGCCGTCATTATGAGAAGCTTCAACCGTAGCTAATTTATGAATACTGTTGACACATACTACTTATTATGTACGTTACGTCCATACTGTAACGGATCAAGCCATATTAGCTCTAATGCTTAGGTCAACAGGCCGGCCCAATACGGGTTGCGTAAATAATAGAAAAACTATGCATACCATATTTCTTATACTTAATTAAGGATACGATTTCACATGTAATAGCAACTTTTTTTCACATAATTATAACTTAAATAGAATAAATCTACATCAAACATACAACGTTTGTATTTTTTACAACGTCGCGTGGTTTTCCCATTTCAATTCAATTATTTGAACAAACCATCGAGTATACAACCAGAAATAAAGACGAAATGTCATTTAATTTGTTGGAAAATTATTCTGCCAAATTCATTACGGTAACAACTACGCTCCTATTAGCCAGTCCGAATTCAAAACAATTGACGGGTGTCGTCAATTGTTTCGACCAGTTTAACTTGAACTTTACTATAATGGACGAAACTTGAAAAATTACATAATATTTAATTACAGATGAAATGTGATTCCGTTTGTTTTGTAATAATTAAAAAATGTAAAAAAAATTGTAAAATTTGTAAAATAAAAAAAATAAAAAAAAATGTAATTAAAATTTGTAAAAGATGTTTTGCTGTTTTTCTCACACCATCGAATAAAACAGTCTCCCATTGTTAGAGAAATATATCTAATAATAATAATAAGGATAATAATCCTTATTACGAGTACATTACACACTGAATATTTTTGGAATATACGGAGCGTACACACAGGTCAGGTGTTCTAATTTGTGATTTAAGCGCAAACGAAAGTTGATATTTAAAAGTGAAGCTCATTTGCCCGATGAATTGCCAGGAATGGATGACTATTGCTGGTTATATGTATACACGATGAAACCAGCTCATTCCAAAAAAGCTAAAGTATTAGTCGTCGATATGACGTCACGACTAGTGACGAGAAAAATATCGATAATAAACACTAATTTGAATTTGTGTGTCTTCAGTTATGGTATATACTAAATCTATGGTTATTATACACAATATTTGGTTCGGGTAATTAGGAAACACTGTTTATGGAAAACTAGACACGACAGATGTAATTACTTACGTTTAATAAAAGTTTTCTTGGGCGGGCCTTTCAAGACCCAATTTCACTCTTTTTTTCTCAATAAATAGTAGCTATTGTGAAAAAAAATGTAACAACTACTAATTATAAAATTATACAAAAATATATGAATATGATGATTGATGACAAAACGTGGGTCTACAAGGACAAATTTTAGAAAGGGCACATTGGAAAAATATGGTTTGTCAATTGTAGCGTTTTGTTATATTTCTCCATCACTTTCGCGACGTGATAAATGATTTTACATTACGATTCATGAACTTAATGGTGCTAATAACGGTTTGAAAAAATAATGTCCTTCATGTCTCTTATACGGCACAAGTTATCACTGAAAAAACAAGAAGCTGCATCTTATAAAATAATAAAATTTTAGTTGAGTATGGTGTTATAAGTCACAATCATTAGGGCCAGTCCCATATTTTTTACTTACGTCTTGTTTATACTTTCCCTCCCTATTAACTTCTTGATTATAAAAAGGGAAAGGCACTATTACCTGTGCAAGCAGTTTACACAGGGACCTTATCAGTCAGATCACTCCGTTGACAAAGACTTCATTCGGTTTTCAAAAAGCTAATGCCTACACCCAAGGCATTTGGCAAGGCATTGTTCACGTAGGTTCCAGACCTGTGAGCTCGCTTCATTCATCATTCAAACGTTGCGTAAATCTGGACAGCAGGGGAGCGAGCCAGCATACACTAATGAGGAACATCTCTTACAATGCCGCAAGCGTTCGCCAGCATACCACAGCGTCCGCTCCCGTTTGCCTCTACCCCCCTGCATTCAGGCAGACTCCAACTCATAACCAGTGGATTTCGTCACATACCGGTGCAATACTCCGTAATCGGTCCCAGGGCATTAAAATTTATACTTTATTTCAATGATATAAAGTATACATTGATAAATTTGCTATTTTTTAAGGCCAAGAGATAAAGAGACATTATATTCTATGCTTACCCGGATTGGGTCCGTCTCTATACAAAGGTGGAAGATGTCGGTAGTGCTTGAAATACTGCACATGGCCCAACAGCCTGGCTGCTCGCGACAGACCCACTGCCACGTCCGTTATCTTCTCTCCGCACCATTTTATCCTGCAATTTTAAACATTTGGATCTCCAGCAACGGCTTCATGACAAAAAAGAGTAAATGTATATACTGTCAAACGCGCCAATAGTTATTGAACAATACAGCTAAAACATGAGTTGTTTCAGAAAAACGTCCAAACACAAAAATGGAAGTAAATTGTGAATGTTAAATCGTTCAAAATAGCAGCGCTTGTGTTGAATATTATCTTCATGCAGTTAATGTGGAGGGTGCACAAAAGGACCCTCCAAGTAGGACACTCCTACGACATACCATACTTTCCTGTACGTCTCGCACACCATGGGCAACACTTGGCAACCTTACGCCGATTGGCAAATCCTTTCACCACCCAAGCATGGCAACCATTGCAGTGTATGCCATCGATACGATAAGAAGATGCAGTTAATTTTCCTATCCTCCCTACGCATAAAAATTAAAAAAATAAATAACATAAATGCAATCACAGTCACAAACCAACCACCACCACCAAAAATGTACCCGACGCGTGTTACGCCTCTTTACGAGACATCCTAACTGCACCTGTGGCCGAACGGTTACCATACCGGACTGCCACGCACTATAATAATATACATATAATAATAATAATAATAAACTATCTTTATTTATCTCCACAACACAATACAAAGAAACGTTACAATTACAGTAAATATACATTATTACGTAAGCTTAGAGTAATGTATTGTGGGAGACTGGAGCCCAAACTAAGCAGAGCTTGTAATATGGGTCTCCAGGCACCCAACCCCTAGGATAGTCATGTTAGTAGTAATGTTGAAATACAAAGTACTGAGGAGGAAGTAAAAAATAAGTAAACTATGCGTGCGCGTGTGAGTAAGTGAGTGTGCCTGAGTGCGTGAGTGCTTGTGTGTCTGTGTGTGTGCGTGTGTGTTTGTGAGTGTGGAAGTGTGAGGTTATTTGACGAATTTTAGTAGATTTTCAGTCTCATCGTAGTTAAGGAGCAAGAGATATCTGGTCAATTTTAGTTTGCATTCGTATTTGGAGAGTTCACAAAAAGGGGATATATTATTTCATTTATTATATAAGAAAGGGCCTAGGAATTGAAAGAAACGCTGAGCAGTTGTTGTCGAAACTAATTTTGAAGGACATATATTTATGCGTCGTGAAGCCAGAAGGGATGGAGTGAAAGATGTCTGAGAGTGTTGTTTCAAAACAGTAAACAAAATAAAGAGCTGCCTGACTGTAAGAACTTTGAATGATTTGTATAGCACTGGTTCCAGGTTCGATTCCCGGGCCGGGAAAAATATTTGTATGGCCTACATTTATTTTTCGCGTGAGTTTGAGTGCAATTTGTGGTTGTCTATATGTGTGTCCATGGCATCCGCGCCACAGTGTTTCCCTAGTGCGGGGCTATGTTGAGTTGTGCGTTATTATTATTATTTTGATTGTTCAACACTTAATTATTCAAAAATTCAAAAAGATAATTTCACTTCCAACGTCCAAAACTTGTGAAATTTCAAGATTTTACAGAAAACGTAAGTTAATACTATTTACATATATATATGCCACTTATTAATACGTAGGCTTAAATGTCATGTAAGTACCTCACCTATGATTCGTCAAGAAATTGTTTTTTTAGGTTATTGTAAGTTCATAAGAATAAACTGTGCTATAGTGATTGACGTCGCGAAGTTATATTGCACAAATTCACCCTAACACTAACACACTTCCTCGCGACAGTGTAATGAAAAAATTCTAAACGCCATTCGAACGGTTATGTGCCTGCCTAGGTTATAATATGAAGAATATTTTTTTAACCATTGCTACAGTTATGTTAGACACCTGCACCTGCATCAAACTTTGAACAAAAACATATCATACATAAACTTACTTGTAATTAATACCATCACACATATCATGACTGGAAGGTAAACAATTGGCCGTCGTCATTGTTTCCTTTATGTCTTGATATGAATTTCGAGCACTCTCAAAGCCCAGTGACATATGGAAGTCATCAACGGCATCAAACAAGTCCTTAGATTGTATGGTCTCGTTCTTCAATAGCTTAGGTCTTATATGATCTGGATATGCTGCCACTTTAGGATATAAAGCTTGCCATTCTTGGGCCCATAAATTGCCTGAAAAGTTGATACTAAACATTTATTTGTTTCTATATTGTTCATTTATGGTATTTGTGATTTTGCTATTATTTTTCTATCAGGCGCTTGTTGATTGTTTCGAGAAAAGGAAAGGTCAAACTCTTATACAAGACTACTGAAGAAGTCAGTTAGTGATAAAGTGACCTCGTTCTCTGGTAACAGTCCATTTAGAAGACTAGATAGATAGAATACTATCTGCCTATTCCTCATATCATGCAGCATATTAGGCTCAATTTACATTGCCGCGGAAGGGAATCGATGGAAACGACTTTTTGTAACGAAATTGTACATAATTGAATGAACTTGTGTACCTAATTGTGACTTATTTATTTCGGCCGCTAAGTAGTACCTAATGCTCATATTATTGCGTTCCGGTTTTGAATGGTAAGGGTGCTACTGAAATTACTGGCATATAGGACTTGTCAACTCATACCTCAAGGTGATGGGCGAAGTGGCACAGTCCTTGAGGTCTTTGCGATTTAAAGCTCTTAGTGGCTCTGCAACTGTTATGGACAGGCGTATCACTTACACCAGACACACGCCTTGTTCGTCCCTTCACTTGGTGTCATAAAACAAACCGCCTGACCTGTTTATTAGCTCGTTCTATCTAGTTTATAAGGTATGATCACATCAACTCACACTTTTGTTCGAATATCGCCTCCAGTGCAACGGACTAAGATCCGTCAATGTGTAGCTTGATGTGCTGCCGTCTGTACATTACACAATTGCTGTTGTTACAAAATTAGCTTCCCTTCAACTTCCTCGGCAACTTAAATTGAGCCTTCTACTCGAAGTTTACGTTTTAAAAACTTACCCAAGATATGTGCTGGTATCACATTGTCATTATACCGCAAATCCTCTTTGTAATACACCTTTAACTTGGCTCTTACATATGAAAGCAGAAGGTCGTAAAAAGGTTTGATCTCCTTCCATATTCCATCAACTACTTCTACAAAATTTACATCCTCAAATGCATATCTCCACATATCACCTGCATCACTAAAATTTTCTGCTTGTGCGACATTGTTCATTCTGACTACGTAATCTTTGAAAATGGGACGTATTTTCCTCCCTGTTGTATCCCGATAGGCTTTCCAATAATACGCTAGCTCTTTTGAATCATTGCATGTCTTGAATATTGTTATCACATCTGTGAAACATATTGGTTGTTAATGTCAACAATTTGAGTAAAATTACCTTGAAACATAACGCACCCTTGGTCTATTACGGCAATTTGCAAAATGAGATGACTTTTGAGAAGAGATTTTTAAAGATTCTATGAATGAAATTAATTGATAATGTTTTATATGTTTTAATAAAACTTTACATACACATAATTAGTTTCATATAGTTAATGTTATTTTTATGAGTTTCATGTGATAAAAGCATTCTTAACGTATTATCACACGTGAATTTATTATACCTATCTACTTCACCAATAATTAAAATATGTAAATACATTTCGATGAAAAAAGACCACGTAACATAAAGGAAATGTTAAAAGATTTTATAAGAACTAGACCAATTTGTAACAACGTACTTATTTATATATTGCAAGTTTGAATGATATCTTTAACATATCTTAACATTCTTGATACAATAATATTTTTAATAGTATGAATAAATTGTAAAAAGAAGTTTAAAAATATTAATTACAATGATAATGAATACTAACTGACCACTCATTGTTCGGACCGAATCTTCGGTGCCGCAATATGTAGTGTTATAAGCGCATACTGTTACCCTGCTCCAAATTCTTTGCATTGTATCTATTTCTTCTCTTTGCTGCAACAGTATAAATGTTATCTAGTTATATTATGTAGGTCTTATATAAACACTGGAAAGTGTGTTTTGAACTCTATTTTTCAAAATTATTAAGAACTAATTTCTTATTCTGACAACACGAGTATTATTTTCAAAAATCAATACTAGTATGCCTAGTAACGAGTAAAGTTAGGTAACCTTGCAAGTATCAAATCTTTCCTTAGATCAAAAGGAAATTCGTAGTAAAATTTCCAAATAGGTACCTTACTCTGTGGCATTTGTACATTTGTCCCCCTTTCCTTAATAATTCGTATCTTCCGTCTTAGTTTAGGATCGTTCAATACTTGTTCATGATTCAAATATTTTTTCTTTAATATATTCCAGTACTGCTTTTTTATTTCGTCCTCTTCTGCTGCTATACGAACCTGCAAATTTATTGATTATTTTACTTAACATTTATGCAATACATTAAACAGGAGTTGTATTGGCATAACTTGCGTCTCCTACCATTTTATTCTTCTTTCCTTCATTACTGATATCTGTTACATATGACCATAAAGCTTCTTGAGAAGTCTTACAAACTTCTAAACTTAAATTGTCCATATCTTCCATAAACTCCTCGAGAGTCTTATTCTCTTTATCTAATTCGTCTAATTGAAATTTGATAACTTCTACGTCATCTTTATTTGTTTGTATTATCGAATTTGGATCTAGAACCGTCTTCATTGCATCATCTAGATACTTTTTAGTATCTTTGACGTCAGCCACGTCGACTTCGACGACTTCGTGACTGGCGCTTTCATCTGATTGATCCAACGTCTTATTGTCTTTTATCAAGTTTTTTTCATCAGCCGACATCTCTGACGTAGGATTCGTAGGAAACTGGACTGCGATGGTCGTAGAAACAATTATGGCTACAATAGATGCTAATTGCTGGAACAATGAACATAGTGTGTTTTTCTGCATCACGGTTGACTTCAAACTGCATTAATCTTTATAGGTTAAGGACGTTGAAATATATTATAATTCGGTGACTTAGTTTGTATTAGTAAATTTGTTAGTGGACTGTGATGCAGTACTGCGACAGTATAGGGACGAGGGTCACGTGAGAACAATTTGGCAATATGCGAGTGCGAGTGGTATCTAGTAATGACCACATCGTCCGGTCGCAGTGCTCCTACTCACCACAATTTAACTCACGAACGGAGTTTATGAAATAGAGTAGTAATTGATAAAATACTTCGCTGTGTTTGTTACTGTTACCTAATCTAAATAATACACAGTTCTTAACTTGATATCTTGTATTACGTAATTGAGTGATTCGATGTTGATGAAAACAGAATAATGAAGCTTTAATTTCAGAACACAGCCAATTACGATGCCTATCGTTAACAGTAGTTCAAAGTAAGTAGTCACAGGAAAAAAAATCCTTAAACCGTAAAAAAAATTGAGAGTAAGTCGTAGATGAATTTTATTGCCTTTGGCAAGACGTTATCAGTGTTACTGCTACAGCTCTGTCGCAAAAAAAACACACATCTTTCTATACACAAACACGAATTCCTATTCTCATTTTTCGAAAATAATTATTGAACCTTTACGTTCAAAGAATAAAAAATATAATTATTACTTCATAGGAAACTATAGCCGTTGATTAATAGACGAAGATGAAGTTAGTGATATTAAAAAATAAATATATGTGAAAAATACCTACAAAATACTGCATCTTGTCACACACAATCCAAAACAGAGTTCAATTAGTTCCAACAACGAAGCACTTGGAAAGTACACCCACTACATTTTAATCAGAGTTTCCTTCAAAACGTGATCGTGTTTCACCAACAAATGCTCGCACTCTACAAGCCGCGATATTTCAGAAAAGGCACATTGTTTGCAATACTTCGAACTGTTTGGTCGTTTTGTAGTGGATTTTTTCAAATTGGAACAATCGAATGGCTATTTTGTTTTGAAAACGTACGTTACGCGCGACCCGCCCGAGTCGCCGGCGCAGAGGCATTGTTGTGCCATATCGAAATGCCTGCCTCGATTCAATAGCCGGGACGTTCTCGTGCGACCGGACGCCCAATCCTAACACCTTATTATCATCCTTTGTTAACACTAAATGAACTCATTGATTACTATTAATACTCGCATTATTTGCTCATTATAAAAAACCTTTTCATCTCGATATGTGTGTCTCAGGTCGTGATAAGAATACATTAGTGGCACTCAAGTCACACAACAGCCGTGATGTTTATTTTTAGGACAAATTACCTAAGCAAAATGCTTGCACTGCCGTCATTTCTACTATACATACATATACATATCCTAAAAAGATGGCAATTCTATTTCCGGTCGGTACAAATGTTGTCAAACCTTTATCATCCTGTGTTGTTATATTGTTTACAACAATATTACATTCATTAATGGTATCGTTTGCAGTTATTGTGAGACGTGAGCTCCGTATTGGTATTTTCGAGTTATTGCTTATGGTTTTACTACCTGTTTAAAAAACGACTTATTGAGACATGGCGGATAGGAAGAAAAGTGAAATTAATTTGATGTTTTAGATAAAAATTTTATTTCTGTAATGGTGTGTTTGTTGCTACAAAGAACTTATATATCATTTATTCTTTCTTTAGAAAAGAAGCTAAGATCTGTCCTCCGGCATGGTCTATCTCTGTGTAGCCGTATGGTTCCAGCTCTTTCTTGGTGCGTTCGAACCATTTCATCACATTCTCGTAGGGACTCAAATCGAAGCCAAAAGCCTGGAATCAGGAATCACATTTACTATGCTTATATAAGAGAAAACATTATGAGAAAACTCATAAATAAGTCAAACAATTTGGCAAGTGAATATTTTGATATAAATAAGTGCGTTTCTCCACTATTTCGCGACAAAAATATCCATAGTAGGTATATGACCCTATTGACGTAACACTGACTTTATTTATATAAAAAACTAGAAAGGTATCTATATATATAGGCTCGTATATATATATAGGAGCGGATTGAAATAGAAAGAGACATAAACGTGTTTATTCTGGGTTTGAATAAACGTGTAAAAAAATAACTGATGTTAAAAATATTTTAAAGACACGAATTTTTCACGGCGCCATACAAACTCAATCAATCGAGAACTGGAATAAGCAAGAATTATTTTCTCAAAACTTTATCATGTGTCTAAGAGCCTTTTCACATGACAAGCGTTAGACGCGCGTATCAAGACGCGTTTTGCTAATGCGCGCTTACAACTCACCCTCTTGGTAAAATAAGTTCACATCTGCAAAATGACAACTTTTCAAGAGTGAGGTTTAAAGATTCTACCAACGAAATTAATTGATAACTTTTTATGCTTAATGAGAATTAGTATAAAATTTCACATGTAAATTTTCACACATACAATTTGTTTCATATAGTTCGTATTGTTTTATTACTTTCGTGTAATAAAAGCACTTTTGACGTGTTATCATCTGAGGCTTTTTTAATTTTACATTTTTTCTTAAATAATAATATCAAGTGACGGGACGAACGAGCTGTGCGCCTAATGGTAGGCTACACGCATGTCCATAACAATTGTAGTGCCACTCAGAGCTTTAAATCGCAAGGATCTGAGGGGCACTGCTAATGCGCCCGTCACCCTGAGACATGAGTTGATAAGTCTCATGTGCCTGTAAATTCACCAGCACCCTTACCCTTCAAAACCGGAACACAGTAATGCTGACGTTACTGCTTGGCGGCAGAAATAGGCAAGATGGCAGTATTACCCTGGATGAACTCTTTCACAAGGAGCTCTATTGCTACTGAAATTTGCTTTTTTTTACCCAAGGAATGAACTGTACGACTTGTATTCATAAGTAGCCATAGGTATCCATGCTGACACGCGCTGAACGCGCATTGAATGCATCAACAGTAAGCGCGCGTTAGCAAAACGAACCTGTCATGTAAACGTTTGCTGGTGAATTTACAGGAACATGTGACTTGTCAACTTATGTCTCAGATGACAAGCCCGGTGTCAGAGCCCCTCAAACCTTTGTAATTTAAAGCTCTCATTGACACTGCAATCTCTATGGACAGGCGTGTCGCTTATCATCAGGCGCAGGACTTGTTCGTCCCTTCATGTAACATCACAAAAAACCGGCTTTTATGCACATCACTAACTGCATCTTTACATTAGTTATGTAAACAGTCAAAAATACCCTAATAATTTGGTGAAGATTTGTAAAAAATTGTGCATTCAAAGCTATTTTTTCATGGTTACAGTTTATATTGTTTATTATTTGAATAAGAGACAGAAATTGAGCAATCCGAGTCCAAATTAGTTCGTTAGAAGATTTACGTGAAAATTATACGCATGTTGTGCTTACATCTAGTAGGTTCCATTGTATTCGAATTGTATTAAGTACAAAGCATGTCTAGTTAAGACTGATAACTCTGTAACCAGTTTTGTAAGCCAAATAATAAAAAAAAGAGTACCTAATAGTGTCAACCTAAAGTAAAAATATCAGAAGATTCATTCTTGCATCAAATAATTGAGTAGGTATCGAGTGTATAGTACAAAGTGCAGTAACTCTAACGGAACATATTATACCTCCACTAGTAAACTGAAACAATTATTAACTATGAGCAAAAAGTACGTTATCATCAACTCACATCAAGATTAGTGACGGTGACAATAATCGAAATGTCGGCGATAGTAAGGTTGTCTCCAGCGAGGAACGGTTTCCCTTCCAGCATGCCTTCCAGGTAGCCTAAGATCTCGTTCATTTTCTTTACGTTTTCTTCGTTCATTTCTTCGCCTTGAAAGAGCACCGGGCGCTGTAAATCGAGTCCATATAAATATTTACTGTTTTTTTTGCAGTGCTAGCTAGCCAGATGTGGCGCGACTTGCGCGAGAAGCGACATAGAAGTGCGCGCGATATTGTTGTTCTCGCGCTTCTACACACGTCACTTCGCTTCTCGCGCAAGTCGCGCCCAGTCGTGCTTGCGATGCTAGTATTCTATAAATTGTCATGTTTCAATAAAGCAATACAATTTATTAATACAAAGATTTTCTATATGCTTGTTGCAGACCGTTGTTTTTGGTTTTTAACCACTTTTTTGCCATAGCCAGTAGTGCGATTCACGTAAGTTCAAGCTATCAAAATATCGTTGAAGTTACGTAGTCGTTCGATCTTGCCAAAATGGGTATTCACGTATCACTTGTACGAACGTTGATATGAGTAGAATAGAAACGTAACGACTTATGAACGACATCTTGGATTGTGAAATTTGACATTTAGTCATCGAAAGTTTATTGAAAAAACTGTCAAAATTTTAGCAGAATACGTATGACTTGTCGTTTAGAGTCAATTTAAGTTCTATGCATATACCAGAAAATGCTTTAGCGACATTTGGATCGCACGACTTTAAAATTGGACTCGTTGACGTTCACTGTCACACGTGAATACGAAAAAGCAGTTCAACGACTAAATCGCTACGATATCGTAACGGTTTGATTACGTGAATTACCCCCAGGGCTCCGTCACTCGCTGAAGGTCGGCGCAAGCTCTCATACAAATCTTTCATATAAGAGCATTCGGCTTCGCACGACTGCACACGGCGGGCAACGTTATTTTCACATCTCTGAGCACGTGCTTAGGTTCCTTTTTACTCGTAGTGAGCGCTTGGTGTCATTAGTCAGATTTAGAATGCTATTATAGCGTAGATACTTTCAATTTTGTATGAGAGTTATGATTCTGTTACGTAGTAACTAATAAGTAATCTGTGCCATAGCGCCGTCTGTGAAAAAGTCATTAGAAACGAAAAACAAAGATCGGCAACAAGCACAAAGAAGAATTCGTAAGGTTCGCTGGTTCGTTACGTGACTTGGTGAGCATAGCGTTTGGCATAGCGTTTGGTGCGCTGGAAGACATTGGTTCGAATCCAGCCGGATCGAAGGAATTATTTGTGTTAAGTGTTCGATCTTCATATTAATAATTATAACAAACCAGTGGAGTCATTTCACAAAAACAATTGAATATCATGATGGTCAAACATCGTGACACTCAATAACTTAAGAAATTACAATACAACAAACCACACATAGAATTGAAAGCTTTGCCCTCCGTATATTGAATGGATCTTGGCTTGTTATTTAAAGCCAACGTAATTATTTTGCTATTTTTTGTACTTACATAGAGATTGAGGTATACAGGAGACAAGGTACCCACGTCGAAGTTGAGGCGTTGATCAATTATGGCCCTTTGACGCGGATTGCGAGGGTACAGGCTGTCATCACGTCCATAGGCGTTCACGAGGTACGCCATTATCGCACGACTGCAATTTTAATTTGGTATTTTGTATCCGTTAGAAAACTTATTGTCTAAAAGATTCATTTTATGATATGTACAATTCCCATATGCTACCTGCCTACAAGGGCGTTCAGTTTCGCCGCATTTCCGCGTCTCAGGAAAAATGAGACTTTCGAGACTATTTCAGAAGTAAGTTTTTATACGTATGGGCTAGGCGTTTAGGTGTTTCGATTGAAACACAATATAATACTTGATTACTAAGTCTTTACTAAGTCAAACTATAAAATCAAAAATTATTTATGAAAGTATTTTCATTTTGCCTAGCGGGCATGTAAGAAACAAAGGGAGTTTAATGTAGTTTCAGATAGAGAGGTCCTGATTTTTAAGCGTCTTCAAAAAAGGAAGGAGGTTCTCCATTCGACTGTATTGTATGTATGTTACGTGATAACTCGACGGCATTTGTGAACCGATTTTGATGATTCTTTTTTTGTTGGAAAGCGGCACATTGGTCCCATTTAAATTTGAAGAATATATTCCACCTCTAAGAGTGGCAAACTATGGGATGAATTCTGTTTCGAGCATTTTCCGGTAACCGATTTCAATAAAACTGGGCAAGCTTTTGATGTCGGTCCTTTTTTTTACAAAAAAATTTACAATTGTATTACTATCTTTCCACAATCTCTACAGATTATACTATGCTCCACTTTATGCATAGTGTTGCTATGTTCATGTAACCTAAATGTCCATGTAAAAATTACTGTTGGGGTAGTAGATTTTTAATATGTTTAATTAAGCAATTTAAGTACATAAAGTGACGATATTCCCGAGACCGAAAACACTAGTCCCGAGTATCGAAAATGACAAAAAACCGTCGACATTTTCGAAATTCACGAAATCGAGATTCACGATATAAAAGGCCTACAGGCTACTGGAATCTCAACTACGATAGCCACTACCTACAGATTATGAATCACCTGCTCAACAAATCGATACTACAATAAAACAAAAAGTCAGTCATTGTCAACTAACTATTATAAATTTAATATCCATATACTTAATAAATTATGTAAAATACGTCTTTTGCTTGCCGTAATTGAAAATTGCCGACTACGTAATGACCACCTAAGAAATACAACAACATCACCAATGGCATAAAGCCATTGTCAATTACCTATACAAAAGACCTATGTATTTACAGTGCTATCTCATTACATACACGCAATTCATTATGCGCTGTAATAGGCGTTCGAACACCGGCTGTTTTGTGCAAGCGAGAAGAAAAAATGGACAGTAAAAATTATACACCTCTCCCAGAGAATGAATCCATTGTCGTCCATAGTTGGTATCGTGTGCTGAGGATTCATCTGAGGATAGAAAGTTTAGGTGTTATTATGAGTTTTTAGGTTTTCCCGATGCTACACATTACAACTGTTTTTAACCGACTTCAAAAAAGAGAGGAGGTTCTCAATTTTTTTGTATTTTTTGTGTGTTACTCAGACATTTCTGAACTTTCTTTTTTTGTTAGTAAAGAGATGCTTCAGTAGACGTCCCATTCAAATTTGAAGAAAATATTCCATCTCTAAGGGCGGCAAATTTGGGGATAAATCCGGTTTACTGGAGTACACCACTTTCCGTTAACCGAGTTCAATAAAACTTGAGAAATAGATGTAATCTCACAAACATTTGAAGTCGGTTTTTTTTTACAAAAGTTATAACTATTTCGGATCTAAATCGCGTATACTTGTTTTTCAAACAAAACATCGCATGTAGCGTAAATTGCAATATTGTTTGGTAAATTAAAAATAAGGTATTGCCATTAATAATTTTTCTCACTGTAGTTTAGAATAGGTCATTTGGTATTAATATTAGACATGACTAATTGATGACTTTACCATCTCAGTCAACCGTGATCTGTAGGGCTAGCACGACAAGGCGCAACTTGCGCGAGAGCAACCTATGGCACGAGAACTCTATGCGAGAATAGCCGCGCTTTATGTCGCTCTTTATGTCGCTCTCTTTATGTCGCGCTCTAACTCGCGCTTTATGTCGCTCTCGCGCTAGTCGCGCGCGCCCTTTCGTGCTAGCCCTTCTGGGGACAGTAAAGAGTCCGAAAGGTCGGTTTGATTGAAAAAGCATATACAGGTACGCGATTTAGATGCAAAAAATTATTACATAATTTTATAATATATTTTTCCAGGGAAGTACTGCCTTACCTATTTCTGCCGCCAGGCAGTAATGTCAGCATTACTGTGTTCCCGTTTTGAAGGGTAAGGGTGGTGGTGAAATCACAGGCTCATAGGACTTGTCAACTTAGGTCTCAGGGTGACGGGCGCAGTGGCAGTGCCCCTCAGATCTTTGCGATTTAAAGCTCTGAGTGGCACTGCAACTGTTATAGACAGGCGTGTAGCTTACCATCAGGCGCACGATTTTTTCGTCCCGTAACTTCATATTATAAAAAAAAATATTACTTGGCAATTACAAAATTGGAAGCTCACGAATTTCGCGTGGACGGGACTTAGCGTTTAAGTTTCTAGGTAAATCAATGAATTGAGTGAAATTATCGAGTGGTAAATAACAATGTGACAAATTTTCGAAGAACTTCTGTTTCTGGTTCAACAGAATTGACTTCTATTTAATTGAGCAGCATGTGTATAAAAAAGAGTAGCTATGCTTCTGAAAGTTCACTTTTGTGCTTGTGGCTGTGGTATTTACATGGTTGCCTATTTACATAGCCACATAATGGTAATTACATAATATTGCAAATGTACACATTTCTAAGCTCTTTGTCCTCAACTTGTAGAATTTTGGCAGAAATATTCTATTGATTTGAAATATAGTTTTCCCTTGTCTTTAAATAAAGAGAAATTATTTGTAGTGTTTTTCAAATAGGGATATAACAATTTTGTATTTCAATAAAACACATAATAATTGAGATCTCAAGCTGAAATTTATTCCAGGTGCAGTACACAAGTTACATTTAAGAATGGAATTCGATCTCGTTCATATGACCGCCACGAACACGTTTGCAGCGTTCAATTCTTTGGAGCCAATTTTCCACCACCCATCCTCACATACCGGACGAAATGTTGGCAATTTCGCGTTTGATATTGTTCCTGAGCTCATTTAACGTTGTTGGCTTGTTGACATAAACCAACGACTACATAACCTCATAAAAAGTAATCCAGTGGCTTTAGGTCGCATGAGCGAGATGGCCATTCGACCGGATCATTTCGCGAGATTACACGATTATCAAACTTCCTCTTCAATCGATTGTTTGACTAACTGCAAACGTGCTCGCAGTGGTCATATGAACAAGATCGAATTCCATTCTTAAATGTAATATGTGCACTGTACCTGGAATAAATTTCAGGTCGATATTTCAATTATTCTGTGTTTTATTGAAATACAAAGCTGTTATGTCCATATTGAAAACCCGATACGTTTCCTTAACGGTACTTACTTATCGTCGAGGATAGTGCAATTACGAGTAACTAGCATGTGATTATGAGCCTCCATTTAGGTCATTTAGGGGCTAAATCAAATCCGCGTAATGTTGTTGCAACCAAATTAGCGTGATCTATTGTTATCAGTCCGTAGACAATATAAATTAATGCTTACTGTGCAAAAATGAAAGTCGTAGCCATTCAAATAACAAAGTAATAACGTCAACGTTTTCCCTCTCCTATGAAATTTGGTTTGGTGAATATACGCTGTTTTAACTGCGTTATGCAAATTTTAATATTTCGTTGTCCTGACCACAAAAGCAAATTTTTTACAAGGAAATAAAGTTTTTTTATGTTTCTATGACAGAACCAATTAGAAATTGATATTGATGATCCAGAAACAAAAATCGTGTTACATGGTTTGCCAAGCGTATATAGTTGTAATGTATCTTTACCTTCAGATACTCTGGAGTCATATGCGCGCCCTCCATGATGTTAGTAAGCACAAGATCGAGCTCCAAGCCCAGCACCCTGGCCAGCATCATGACCGACCTGCAGGGTGGCGAGGGCGGCAGGTAGTACAGTTTTATTGGTTGCGCCGGAATTTTGCTGTTTTTAGAACGAGCTGCCGCGTTGCTGTTAAACAAATGACAGGCGTTAAAGAAATTCACATTAGGTAACGTACTACGGACGTGGTACTGGTTGACTATTGCTTAATTAGATGATTAATAATACTTGTTAAATAAAAGAAAGATCGTTTGGAATTTTTGTCCGCAAGTTTCGTAAAATTCGTCTTAATATACAGTGTGATTTTTCAACCGGGACAGTATGGGGAAAGCCGAAACCATAGGAGATACAGAGAGACTGAGAGTTCATGGTCTCGATGGTACTCAATCTGTTGAGGTAAATAAAATATGTTTTATACACGATTAAGTGCCGAATTAATAATGCGTGAAAACCGTAAAATCAGTATTTGACATCGTAAAAGTTTTTGGTCAAGCGTGAGTTATCCATAAAAATGAATAATATAATCTATCGGTAGAAAAAACTCGGGACAGCGGATCATTTTCCCTGTACCTCCTATGGTTTCGGATTTCCCCACACTGACCACCATTTAAATATGCACGTAATTAAATACTTAGTATATTAGGTCATTAAAATATTTTTAAATAAAGAATCTGTGGGAAGAATATAAAAAGAGCGGTGATAGCTTAATGGGTGAACGTTTGCCTCTCAACTGAGAGGATCGACGGTTCAAACCCCGGTGGTACCGCCACTGGATGTGGCCCAGTTTTTATTATTTAGTAAATATCGCTATTGGTGAAGGATAATATCATAATAAAATCTACACGTCGAGGTTCTTAATCCTTAGAAAACGTATGAAATTTAAGTCTAAGAATATGGGCTAAACCCTCTATTTAGAGGAGACACGTGCCTAGGTAATGATTATTTAAGTATATAGTTTTGGACACGTATAGTGCTCGAAAGTTATATTTATAGTTTCTTCTAGTAGAAATAATATTTTTTATCTACAATAAACTATTTTTTCGTACCTAATTTATATTATTTTGTTTTTTCAAACAAACCAACGTTTGGGGTTTTTTAGGGCCAGTGTTCACACTGACCAACCAACGAGGGTCAGCATCGAAAAGGATCTTATAGCCGCGAGCGCACACTGATGAGGAATATCATTTCTTTATTTTTTTATAAGATATCATATTTGACCTCCAATTCGCCAGATGGTAAGTGACGGTGAAGTCGACGATGGAGCAAGCATACCTAAATAATGCCTATTCACTGTTGCCTTAAAAAGGCCCAAGTTACAATGTTCAGTTCGCCATATGAATGTGGACGCGTAAAGCTTCACGCGGATTCTTGGAACATCCACTACATCTCTTACTACACGAATAGCGTGCCTTCCGTTTGCAGCTATTCTGATAATTCCGACGCCTCCCGCCGCGATATCCTCTAGCGAGCTCTTTGACACCGCCATGGATCAATAACTCAAGTTGAGTTAAGTTGTTTTGTACAGCAATAAAGCTTCTCGTGAAAGAGTCCGTTCAGGGAAGTACTGCCACCTTACCACATTTCTGCCGCCAAGCAGTAATGTCAGCATTACAGTGTTCCGGTTTTGAAGGGTCCTGGTGAAATTACAGGCACATGAGACTTACCAACTTATGTCTTGGAATGACGGGCGCAGTGGCAGTGTCTCTCAGATCTTTGCTATTTGAAGCTGCAACAATTATTGACAGGCCTGTCGTTTACCATCAGGCGCACGACTTGTTCGTCCTGTCACTACCGTATCATAAAAAAAAGTTGTTGATCCATGATACCGCATAGAGAAATATACGCTGCAATACTGAAAGGTTCATCGCAGCATTAAAATGCCTTATTGCATTTAAAATACATTAATAAATATTTTATACATTCCCATTCGTCTGCTTGCGCTGACCCATAAAGATTACACGGTCACGCCTTACCGTCAAATGTACATGATTTTAGACCCAGTAGTTACGTGCAATAAATAAGACAATCTCATTAATTACTTATAAACAATTATCGATTTTGTTTATAAATATTACTTTGATCATTTGATTACATTTAGACAATTATTATTCGTTTGTGCTAGACTCGAGCATACATTAGGCACAACTAGGCGTTATTAGGCATAGTCAAATTTTACCAGTCGTCTACCTGACGGTTAAGTATCCAAAAATACATTGCTCGCATATCCTAAATTATGTAATGAACATTTTTAGCGAAATGAAGGTATTATCATTTAAGTGACAATAAAACTTTGTGTGTCATTAACTCAGAAGTTACCGCAATGCAAATGCGTTAGTTTATGACAAGAGGGCAATATAGTCTAATGCAGCCATATAAAATACTTATTAGAAAGGTGCTTCTTAATAATAATAATATTAGACAACATCATATAGGTTGCTCCGGTCCCAAAGTAAGTAGCTAAAGCACTTCTGTTATGAAAATCGGAAACATCTACGGCACCACAAACGCTAAGACCCGAGACAATACAGAAAAATTACTACATTGAACCGTATCCGTATTAAATCGAATCCGGGACTTCTGAGATGGCGACACTATGAAAACCGCTGTGCAAGTCACTCGACGTTGTCATTCTTCAACTATGGATTCTTATATTTTTTTAAGTCTTTAGCGAGATATATTTAGGTTTTGTGTTTGAATATATTTATTCGGTTTTTTTGCATTTTTTTAACGCCCACACTCATAGGCCCGCACTAGGAAAACCCTGTACCGCGGGTACCATGCACACACATATAGACAACTACAAATTATACCCAAACTCACGAGAGAAATAAATGTAGGCCATACAAATATTTCTCCTGGCCCGGGAATCGAACACGGGACCTCTGCGTGGCAGTCCAGCATGGTAACAATGTTACGGGTCATGTAACATAGCAAACATACGTACCTATGTATATGCCCAGAAATATAAAAATTTTGAGTATAGCTAGTCTACCGTAATTAATAATAGGCCCAAGGCGTAATAGAGGTGTTTTCATTATACTCCGAGACACACTCAATCTTTTAGCCAAATCTGATAAGACTATTTTGGTGAGTCCGCTGGGACTGCCGCTGGTAGGTTGCGGAAGAGTAGTTAGACTATTTCCCTGGGTTTTACTGGGCAGGCCTCTTTCCTTTTCCACTAGGATCAATAAAGGGAGAAGGGTCCCACATCACATCGCATCCCCCAAGTGCGGTGGTATCCATAACGTATTTTCCAGGGTTTTCAAAAAAAGCGTAATTAAGAATAATATTTTGCAACACCTAAGTCTCTGAGAACCAAATTTCAAATATTGAAATGAGGAATTTTATATTTGAAAAATAAAAAGAAGAAAAAAAAATGTTTCATTGAGTTTGTAGGTACTATTTAGATAATGGATGAATTACACGAAATACGATATAAGATCTGCGATATCGAGTGCAAAAAACAACATAGAAAAGCAAGATTAAGATAGGCACATACAATTCAAACCTTTCTTTTTAACCTTAGTAAAGCAACCTATTTGCTATGAATTAGCCCACCACCGCGTGATATTAACTTTCAACTTACCTAATCATATTTACCAATAAAACTATTGAAAATATGGTTCCTGAAAGATTCATTTCTACGCGTATTTTTAACACTTTGTTAAGGCAATTATGAAGCGAATTTCTCTCACTAACTTTTGCTAATTATCTATAGATAAAACACAATAGACGTAACAAGTATTAACAAACAGTCTATATTCAACTGATTGTCAATACAGTTACGATCTTTTCCTAATAAGATATTGTCATAAAAAGAGATTTCCTCTAATCCAAAACTCACTTCGCTGTCTGAAGGTTTTCTACGGCGGATTTGTTTACACATTGCCCCAGTTTGAATTATTTATATGAAAGCACTATATACTTAAGAAATCTTTGACATAACCTATATCGATGTAGACAAGTAGATAATTTTATACAGTTCAATAAATAAGAATGTCATTTGAAAGTTGAAGTAATATATATCAAGCGAAATAATGTGAAACATGCAAATGTAACTCAGATTTACAAAAATGTAATTTGTTTGTTGTTTAATATAGGACTTAACGTGTTTGTTATGCAAAATTTGTACTAGAACATAACAAAAATGTTACACTATAGGTACTCGTAGAGATTCAACGGAATCGCGATGCGTACTGCCGTAAGTCTAATGAGGAACGACCTATTTTATACAAGGTTATGATTTTGATGACAGTGTTTTGTTCACGGCACCATGGTAACGTAAGGTGGGCGGAACGGACTGAGCGACTACTCACGCTGACAAAGGAACCACGCTGACCACTTAGGGCGCGTTTTATTTATCGTTGGACCACTGTCGCGTCTAGCCTGTACCCATATCACGACTATCTATTGTGTCTGTGTCTGACAATTTATCGACACACGGCAGCCGCCTTGTGGTTTACACGACAGAATTGTTTGAAGCTGCAATTATCTGTCGTCAAATTTTATCGTGACGTTTTATTTATCGTCAGACATCTATTATGTTGTGGATATTCCTAAGAATCGCACGAAGCGTTACTCTTCCACATTTATATGGCGAAGGGCTATAGAGTGGAATTCCCTGCCTGCAGACTTCTCCCTGAACATTATAACTTGGACCTTTTCAAGGCGAGAGCGAATAGGCATTACTTAGGTGTGTATGCTTCATCGTCGACCTCATCGCGCATCAGGTGAGATGGAGGTCAAATGCGCAGTTACATTTTATAAAAAAAAGGTCGACTGTCGTTCTATCTCTTCCCATTGCATTGCCACAACAGTCTGTCGTCGTAAGTCAAAAAAGTCGTGAGTGACAGTTAATTGTGTTGTTCTATGTGTGAACAACTTCATTTAAATATACAATCCACGACACTTTACACTGCACGACTATCTCTCCTCACGACATAATGGGAACTCGCCCTTAGAGCTATATTTCTTAGATTTACAAATGTTTACCCTATGACAAAAACTAATACGGATGGATTTCCTGTAGCTCGAAACAAAATACGCATTTAATGTCGTATAATAACGACGTCTAAGGACATTTAGATTGTCTATTACAATTAAGTAAACAGGGTTTATATAAAAATAATATTTCGTTTGTGTTAACTACTGCTGCTTGTAATACTTAATTGTAGATTATTAATTACTAGATAATTCGTTTTTTCTAAGGCACCACGAAAATTGTAGTCGCCTATGCCTTGTAATTTTTTCTTTTGTTTACTTATAGCATGTGCTAAGTATCTAATTGAACTGTGCTAGTCATGACAATCATTCTAGTAAAGCGTGAAGAATTCTAAGCAATATAAAGAGCCTAAAGGAAATCTATTTGACGAAGTAATCATAGCTGTGACTCTATCTTGTTTAAAAATGTTTACCGTGCCGCATACCAGCCTCTAGATCTTCACGTGTGTCATACTTATCGTTTTTTGACTTTTATCCATACCATAATATATGATGACGTCATTTTGATCTTATATTGTGATATATAATAACCATAACAATTACGAATAAATTTTCAGATCTCATCTATGAAGATAAACACCGCCGTGACCTGACTAAATTGAAAGAAATAGGATCGGTTTCCATTGAAACGAGAAGCAAAAACATGTGACGAGTTCTAAACAGAGTTACCGATACGCCTGACTACACCATAATGAAGTTTTGTATCTAGATATAAATCTATACAAAGGAATGTAAAGTAACTAGGTGGATCATTTTCAGATTAGTTTCCTCTACCTAATTCCGGTGGCGTTTTTTATTATTTAAACGTCCTAGAATGTTATCATGAAATATTATATAATATTGCACGACAATGTACTCAAATAATATTATCAAATTGTAGTAGCAGTAGAACTACTTGTGAAAGAGTTCGTCCAGGGAAGTACTGTACTTTACGTATTACTGTCGCCGAGAGCATTACTGCGTTCCAGTTTGGAAGGGTACGGGTGCTGGTGTAATTACAGGCACATGGGACTTGTCAACTTATGTCTCAGAGACAACCACCAGGCTACCACCAGGCGCACGACTTGATCGTCCCTTCAAAAAATATCAAATAATATCAAAAAATCAAGATAAAAAAATATTTAAATAATAAAAAATTGCCACCGCAATTAGGTAGACAAAAGTAACCTGCAAATTACCTAGGTATTATTAACGTGTGATCGAGCGATTGGTTGTAAACATGTAAAATACGTGACAAATGTACATCTGATGTATAATTTTGTTCAAGGTTGACACTGTTCCATGATTGCCTTTGTATTAGAGTTGATGATATTTCTATTTCGGATCATATTTTTTTACAATTACTGTAATAGTAATAGTGACAAAGTGCAAATTATGGCATCAGATAAAGTCATATCCATCCACCAGCCTTTATGTAGAATCACGTTTATGATGTTATTGTGCGATCATCGTTTTAAATTTTGTCATAAACATACCTCAACAAGTTAGCAGAAAATTAACAACTCGACAGATAAAAACAACAAACCTTAAGAACACGTTTAATAAAAAATCATCAGAACTCGATACAAAAGGAGATTTCGTAAATTTTACAAAGTATAAATAAGTTTTTAACCGTAATTAGATCCTCAAGCTTAGCAAATTATTATTTCGATGATTTTGGAGTGTCTACAAATGTCACTGGTGTCACTTGTCATCTAGCACTTCCACAGTCGATGCACTGCTTGCATTGTCTTTAAGGTCTAAGTCAGCGACATCTTGCTTAGACACTGTTGTGACGGCTGTCTCACTTTTTATATAATTTATTCGTCCCTTTGTCTCCTCGGTGCCTTTAGAAGGTTCCTCCTGACTTATTTTCACTTTTCTGCTCTTAGAATTTCCCATCCTGTTTTCACTGAACGCGTGTGGTTTATACTAAACGTAAAAAGGTTCTATCCCACCCTTGTTTGCACTAGATAACACCAGATAGCCACTCTCAACAATTGAAATAGTCCGATAAAAGTGGGACACAGTCATAAGTGAAAGAGAAAAACGCTACTGAGACAAATATATTCGGCGAATACATTATAAATGCCACCCAAAAGATAAGGCGACAATGACACAGTGGCCGCATTACTGTTTCTCTGGTTTATAAATATTTATATTCGTGTTAAATTTATAAGTTACAGGAAAAATTGACTATAATTGATCATAACCATCTTCAAAATATGTCTGAATATCATTTATACGCATAGTAAAAATAATAAAACTTTTATAGAATTCAATATTACACTGCGAGACTAGGTATTTTTTTTATATTGGCAATCTTTTTGGAATTTCCGTCCACATTCTTATACGTATCATACACTTGAGTAAACAATATATTGATATAGAATATAATAGTTGACATATGTAGACAATTTGGTTTATAAGTACAATACATTACACGATGATACTACGGATGGCAAATTACATATTGTATTTGGTATAATTGCTACATTATAGCCAATTAGATGTTATAAAATGTACAGTCACGTTCATTAGTAAGAACTATTCATTCAAACAATAAGGATAAAAAGTCATAAATTGTCAAAAAAACTTTCCGAATATTTTTGATTCGACAAGAACTTAATTTTGCTTTGAAATAACTTTTTTATATAAAAAAACCGACCTTTGCTCTGACCGAAAATTTTGCGTTCCATTTTCGTTGTGTTTTATTTTGATTGGAATTACATTAATTTGCCAAGTTTTGAAATCAGTTAACAGAAAGCGGTCGAAATGTAATAAACCGACTTCACGCCCTAATTTGCCCTCCTCAGAGATTTAATATTATTCATTTACTCCCTTTTCAACAAAAAAGAATCATCGAAATCGGTTCACAAAATGGCGGCGTAATTGAGAACTCCTCCTTTTTTGAAGTCGGTTAAAAAGATAACCTATTTCTTGCTTTTGCTGTCTTTCAAGAAACAATTAGGAAAAAATCTCTAAATTAGTCACACGGTACCCTAAAAAAAGAATTATCTTGAAAGCCTATGCACACAATGACTTATCTATCCGAGCCAGTGCCAATGAATCATAATCTCAACTTCGTCACTGTGCTCTGAAGGTGTCTTTCGTAAAGTACCTACTGATAACAATAAAAATGTAAATAACAAAGACACAACGTTTCAGATAAAATAACTGTTGAATATAGGTAGTTTGCTTGTAAAATACATTTCGGTAATAATAACTAATATTTGATTTGTTTTGGGACATAAGTAAAGTAATGTCTATGCAATTAAATAAAAATACATATTAATTGAATGTGAAAAATAATCTTAAATATCACATATTTCTGTCAATCAGCCAGACGTATCCAAGGCGTTGTAAAGACCTTAAAACGCTGGTAATTTGTAAAAAAAATATTTGAATACATTGTTAATACTGCGCATTCGGACCCTGTGACCTCGATCATTTATTTTTCAATTGTTCATTTTTTAATCTACAGCGATTGTTATTTATTTGTTTATGCAAAGATATTATAACTACAGATAATTTACCTAATATTGTACACGGACTCTTGAAAATATTCTATATGTGTGATATTATTTTTAATTTTTTCTTGAATACTTTTGGCTCTTTGTAAATACTTTCTTTTTTATTATTATTTTTTATATTATTGTATTTAGGTTTATTCCATTCTATTATATTTATGTTAGTTATGTAGTTTTAAGCTGATGGTCTTGTAGCCATAGCTCAATAAATTAAAAACATAAGTTATGACACATTTATAAATGAGGCTAACAGCGCAAAAGCGGTGTAACCCAAATTTTTTCTACAATATTACTTTAGATGATACTAGCGTACATAATCACATGTGTTTGGGGTCTAATTACTTGAACGTTTATTACTAATTTCTACAATTTCTCGTCATTACGTCTACGAGTACAATTTTTTTTCAATTATTTTGCCGAAAATCGAGAATAGAATGTCTGTCCGCGCCACTTAACTTTTCAAAACACCTCCGATAAAAATGGCTCCTTTAACGCCATGTGCAAGAAAATATCCATCATGTTTTTCGGTTTCAAAGACAATCTTTTACGTAATTTTTAAACTAATAATTTAAGATCAATAAAATATGGAAATTACAATTGCAAATTAATGTGACAGCAATTGCTTTATCACGAAACGTAACAATTAATTAGTACACAATTGAATATTTTTATGTAATACATTACTCACGGACATATAAATTAACTTATAAAGAACTTATTTTTATAATTCGGTGCAAAACACACAAGTATCTAATAAATTATTAATGTAATTAATATATGTATATTATTATATTATAAAAATACAAAAACTAATATACACTTTTTTAAACTAATCATAACGTACTTGAATCTATTTTCATGTATAAATAGAATTAATAATTGATTATGTATTGGTCATATGTGATTATTAAAAAATAAATTTGGCTAATTTTAAATTCCTCATTCTCAATCCTTCATCTTTTATTGCATGGGGTTATCCCACTTTTGCGCTGATAACTTGATATAATAACATAATATCATTGACTTTTTATAATATACTAAATATGTTCTGTATAATATTACTGCCTGTATACATCCACATCATTCAAATAATAATGATGTTTTGAATTATTTTTTTTGTACGTACGTCACTTTGTCACAGCGTGTTAATATAAACTAATTATCAAATTCGATACCGAAAATGCACTTATTTGTAATTATTGTAGTTGTTAGCAGTTAAGCTGATGACATCATTACAGGTGAATCCAAAATATAGTCAATAAAAGACAAAAGACCGCGATCAAAAAAATAAATTACGCCACGGAATAAAAAAAAAATACTATTTACTCCGTATAGTTCTTTTTAAATGGGACAGTACGAGGAAATCCGAAACCATAGAAGATACAAGATACTTATGAAAACAATTTTAGCATACATTTTTATGGTCAAGCGTGAGTTGATGACACATCCTTGATTTTTAAAACAGACAGACATGACATTAACTATGACCGTATTAATGATACCCTCTCTAAGGTAGTTTATTGGTTTAATGCTAACAATTTATTGCTTAATGCCAAGAAGACAAAATGTGTTAAATTTGAATTACCTAACGTGAAATCGACTAGTCCAAACATAGAAATAAACGGAGAAAAGTTAGACCTTGTTAATAAAGCAGTCTTCTTGGGAGTGACCTTAAATAGTAAACTTCAGTGGTTTCCACATAATCCTCTCTGGCCAGCAGATTAAGCTCCGCTGCATACGCAGTCCGCAGAATACGTGAGCTTACCGATGTTAGTACTGCTAGACTAGTTTACTTTAGTTACTTCCATAGTATAATGTCCTACGGGATTGTCATGTGGGGTAAAGCGGTAGATATTCAAACCATATTTGTATTGCAAAAACGGGCGAATCGTTCTGTGTACCGTCTAGGCTCTCGGGTATCTCTCAGAGAAAAGTTTAAGGAGACTGGTATCATGACTGTGGCATCACAGTACATTTACTCAAATATTTTATATGCCCGTAAAAATATACATAATTTCAATAAGATAGAAGATATCCCTAATATTAACCTTAGAGTTAAGTTCAAACTCATGGTACCACGATTTCGTTTAACCAAGGTAAACAACTCTTTTATGGGGAACTGTATACGTTCTTACAATAAGATTCCGGAGCATATATTAAGTTTATCATTTCCTAAGTTTAAAAACTACATTAAAAATATTTTGATCGAAAACTCATATTACAAAATTGAAGACTTCGTGTTAGATAAAGATGTATGGAAAGACGACATGGCACCAGAATCCACACAAATTTGATTCAAAGTGTATTCCGTAGCATTTAAGTTTATTTGAAAAGAGCAATCCCTAGAGTTTCTTGCTCGTTCTTCTCAGGAAGGTCAGCGTAGTGAACGAGCAGTAGCTTAAATGTGACGTTTTCAAGTGTAAATTTATTTTACCTATGGAATAAATAATCTTTGACTTTGACTTTGACTTTGACTTTGACTTTGTCTTGTTGTCCATAAAAATGAATAAAATTGATAAAAATGTTTTTAGTGCTCATCGACTCAGTTTCATGTAAGGATCATTGCATTTATAGGACGAAAAACATGGGGATAGCAGAATTTAATCAAATGTTTTTCTTACAGCATTCTGTATATGTAGATATAAAATTGACAATATTTTTTTAATTTCATAATTGAATGTCAATATGTTTCACATAATTAATAAGTCATAGGACGTGGAATGGTGTCAAATGCATAAAATAAATATCGATCTAGAAATAATAAATAAATAAATAAACAAAGACAATTTCCTTCGATTTGACAGGACTCGAACCTGGATCTGTGCCATACCAGGGCGACTGCTCTACCAACTGAGTTACCGATCGAGTCCGCAGATCTTACGAATTTATGTGTGATTTTGTTAAACATTTGTTTTTGGTTTGGTTTTGGTTTTTTTTAGCGCCATCTGTGACAAATGTATGAATCGTCCTGGTATAGCACAGATGCAGGATCAAATCTTTTTTTATAACACCAAGTGACGGGACGAACAAGTCGTGCGCCTGGTGGCAATAGACACGCCTAACCATAACAGTTGCAGTGCCATTCAGAGCTTAATTCGCAAAGATCTTAAGGGCACTACAAGTGCGCCCGTCACCCTGAGACATAAGTTGACAAGTCCTACGTGCCTGTACTTTCACCAGTACCCTTACTCTTCTAAACCGGAACGCTTACTGCTTGGCCGTAGAAATAGGCAAGGTGGCAGTACTTCCCTGGACGAACTCTTTCACAAGGAGCTCTACTGACAGTATAGACCTGATCGAAGGAATTTTTCCTTGTGTTCGATCTTTGTATTAATAATAATATGAGTTGAAACAATCAGAGTATTTTATTTATTTATAAGAATAACTACACTTTATAAATATAAGAAGCACAAACAAGAGAGTGACACCCTTGCTATGACCACGAAATTACCTGAGCTACCTTCAAAAGTCATAAAAGTTTCCTGCGCAGCACAAAGGCTACGAGTGACCATCTAACTGTCACTAGGTGTGCACTGTGGAAACGGAAAAACGCCCCACCACCTGATTTCATCATATCTCAAGAGCAACTACCA